AGGGGTCATACTAAGTTTTGGACATCGTTATAAAAAATCTTCTAAAAAATTATAATATAAAAATATGTTACAAATCATGTATCAATTTGTAGAGGGTTTAATTTTAAGTATATTGGTTAACAGATACAATTTTTACAAAAAGTACATCTTAACTTTTTATAATACCCATCTCCTTTACTTTTTTTTTAAATTTATACAATATTTTTATGAATACTAATTTTTCCACCTGAAGGGTCATACTATAAGTTTTGGAAATATATTTGTAATCTAACATAACACACCACAAGTATAAATCCAAAAACCTCTAGCTGAAAATTAAAGATAAACAAGAAAAATTAATAAATTATTTATAGAAAATAAATTATGTATTAATGAAAATAGTCATATAAATAAATATATTCTATATTATTATAAAATCAATTAATGCAGATGTTTAAATGGATTCTCAATCGCATCATTTAAATCTAATACAATCAATTCAAAATCTAAACAAAGTCCTAACTTCTATTTTTCAGAAATGCACAAGATACTATTTTCGATTTTGCAGTATATAAGTTAAAGTAAGAGTAATAGAAATTCATTATTAATAATAATGAATTGTACTTATCATATACAAAATCCAATCACTTCGATATGTATAGCTCCACATAAGTGCCAATGCTAAAGAAAACTTTGTGTAGTATGCCAATATGAACATGGAGTGGATTTGAAATATACAGTTCCTATTGGAATATTTTAAGAAATGGCAATGAAGAAATTAAAAGACTCCAAGCTTAATGATACATCTGAACTAACCAAATAGAGAGTGGCCATTTAAAGCATTGCTCACTCAAACCGAATTAATGATGAAGACAATTTGGGAAGAGTTGTCACAATCAATCAAATAAGTTTATGATTGGATTGAAAAGTAAAACTAATCATACTTTAACCTCATTAATGAAAACACCAATCTAGCTGAATCCTCTTACACTGATATAGAAAAATTAGTAAACATTGTAGAAGGAAAAACTTTAATTGATTGGAATGCTTCGAAGAATTCTTATATGATAGAATTAGAGAAGACTAAGAGCTGGTGGGACCAACATATAAAGGCTTTTATTGAGAAGTCTAATTATGGAATCCAATAGATCCACTCATTAATTAAGTAAGGTTTATAAATCTTATCTTTAGGGAAGATGAAGAAGAAGTTTATTAAATGAAAAAAGATCTGGATGAGATGTTAACCTACATCCAGGATATAAAAGAAACTCTATACTAGAAGATTCTTGATACACTTAGAAAAGAGAAAGCTTCAGACGTTATTGGATTCCTGTCAAAGACAAACAATCATCAGTTTTATGAATCTTTAAACTACAAGTAAGACAATCTAAAGGAGATCAAGAAGTAAGTAAAGAAAATAACTAATGTCTTGACAAATCTTTAGGATCATCAATTTGGTAAGCATGATTATTCTTCAGAGACTTTTGAAAAGGCAAGATAAAATCTAATAAAGAGGTTGAAGGATAACAAAGGGAGCATTAATTTTATGAAATTTTTAGTTCTCCTCACAAGCATAGATAGAAAATTTATTCAATGTGGATCAAATGGACTTAGTTTATTAGTGGCCATGAAGGTTGATATAAGGAACCAATCCTTTGAGAATATCAGAATAAAGAATACTTCTTTAATTGGAGGTAATTTTGTAAGGTGTAATTTGAGTGGATCTGAGTTTGATAATGTAGATATCAGTGGATTGAATTTAAATGGTGCTTAACTAATAAATTGTAAATGGAAGAACATAAAAGTCCATGAATTGAATAAACTGGATGGTCATAAGGGACCTGTTTCATCAGTTTGTTTCTCTCCTGATGGAAAAACTTTAGCATCTGCTGGTGGTGATTGTACTATCCGTCTATGGGATGTCAAAACAGGATAATAAAAAGCCAAATTAGATGGTCATAGTAATACTGTCTACTCAGTTTGTTTCTCTCCTGATGGAAATACATTAGCTTCTGGTAGTTTGGATAACTCTATCCGTCTATGGGATGTTAAAACAGGATAATAAAAAGCCAAATTAGATGGTCATA